ACAGATTAGGTATACACTGACACTCACACATACGCGTGTCGTGACGTAGTGTTGTATCAGCACGCCGCCGCACGCGTCCACACTTGAACACTTGGAACGTGTCAACACTTTATTTATTTATACGGAAATTTTGTCAAAAATTAAGTACCTATTTTTTTTACATAATTGGAATGAGAATCATGTACCGAGTATTCTCCTTAAATATTGATAGTAATTCACCAGTCACCCTGTATATATATATATTATATATATATATATATATATATAGTTTTCTTACGATCATTTATCTAACCCGCTGGCCCACTTCCTAGCTACGTTACATCTTGCATCGTTTGCGTCATCGGTATAATATTTGTAATTAAAATTTATCTATTGTTAGTTATAATATTAAATGAATATTCTTAAAATAATAAAATATTTAGATACATTTAATTGTTCCTGGTATCAAAATGTTATGTTAGTTTTTGTATAAAGTAAAATTGTTATAATTTATAAAGCATATCATTATTGTAATACTATTTCATTTCATAAACTTTATTTTGAATATTACATCGAATTCAAATATTTTTTTATGAACATATATATTTATTATTTTTATCTATTGCATGTCGCTTTACAATACATTACAGATAATAATGGTGCTCCAAAGGCCATCCAAGGCAAATGTGATAGCAATAGTTTGTATAAGTTTGTTTTGGTCAGTGACTTAAATATCTTAGCTATGATTACAAAACACATCTAAAAGATCCTTTGTGTTTATTCCGTAGTCTAAAACTCTTCGAAGTAACGATGTAAGCTACTTATTACCTTAAATAAATAACATTAAAGTCGAAATTCCGTTTTCTGTAAAGAACTATCAAATATTTTGAAACTTTTCAGTTTCATGTCCAGCAAAAAGGTTTTATTACTTTAGAAGGGAGAGATTGAATTAATGTAACTTAAGATAATAAAATAGGCTATTGTTTTCAATACATTTACAATCTAATGTATATAAATATATTGGTCTGTCTGTGTGTAATATTACAATAACTGCCTCTCACTGTAAATGTATATATAATTATATTTATTTTACAATTTTGATTTGTATATCTGTTCTCTGATAATACTATATCTATATTTATGATACATTATTGGCATATATATAAGGAGTAACTTAAGTGTTTTTTATTTTACAGATTTTTCAAAGTATTTTTATAACAAATAACAAGAATAAGATAAGATTAAAAATTCTGTTCTAATTCGTGTTTAAAAATAGAGTGAAGTAGCCTTGCATATATTTATTATGTTACAAAATCAATGAGTTTGGAAACTATCAATGTTATCCATTTTAAAGGAATAATGACTTAGATATTGTATAAAAATAAATTATTAAGATCGAATTTGGCTGTATGATAATGTATCTTACTTTTTTGAAAACAGGTTACATATATTGAAACCTCCTTTGAATAAAAATACATTTGACGTTTCCAAAAAAATAAAAAACGTAAAGATATTTTCATATATTTCGTAATTAACGAATAACTGTTAATATAATGTTTACAGCCCGCTATTAAGCTGAGCTTGTATGTGTTACGTTGTTTAACGATCTTTTGTAATCACTGTAACGGCATTACGAAAACCCGTTAATTAAAATATTTGTCGTTAACTTTGCTTATGGATTTAACTATTATGAGGAAGTAAAGAAATTTATGTTTTAATAAAAATTATATAACAGCGTTATGTATGTTCGCTTTACTGGCAGTTTAATGAAATGAACGAATGATATATTTCAAAAATAGCTCTTAAATTAATATAGGGTGGTATCCGAAGGTTCCAGGAAAACTACGAAACTTACTTATATGTATATTGTAATAAATATTACATGTTAAAACTTATAACCTACACCTAAGACGACATGATTGTCTCGATGTTAGGATAGCAATAGCATTCCATAGCTTGTGTGGTATCAGGAATCTTGGTGGTCGTTCCATGGAGTCAGCAGCGTCACTCGTTATATGATATATATATATTTTTATGTGAAAGCTTGCAAACGAGCAGACGGCCCACTTGATGGAAGGTAGTTACCGTCGCCCATGGACATCTACAACATATTTGTTGCGGATGCGTTGACAACCTTGTTTTTAGGAATAGGGAGGGGTGGGAATAAGGAAATGGTAGGAAAGGGTGGAAATAGGGAAAGGGCAACCGGCTCTCTCACTCATCGGACAAAACGCAGCCACTAAAGACTACTTCACGCCGATCTTCTGTGAGAGGGTGGTACTACCCCGGTCGAGCCAGCCCATGTTCGAGCTGCAGTAACTGACCACAGTTAGCCCTTAAACCTACACCTGGGTCACAAGTCCCAGTCCCTGTTGAAGCTCCTCTCACTACAACGATGGACCCGACACACGCATATGAATACATTGAATGATGAGAGGTTTCGTCTCTCTAAAATATATGAATTCTCTAGACTTCTAGTTGTTTTAAACTTTATCGCTTCTCCAAAGTGTTTGAAACATACGAAGGCCATTCACTAGTTTGCATTTAATACTGTCGATTAAGTTAATTGCTAGGATTATTTGAATTTATATATAAAAGATAATTCTTTAAATAGAATGAAATTTTTTGGGTAATACTAAAAGTTTTCCATTACTTTATGTACATGAACATTGTACATATGACAAATCGTGATCATGCTTTCTGTAAAGGAACCGAAATGCTGAAGTTATTGTAATATAAAATAATAAACCGCACAGTATCTAAAAACCTTACTTCCATTTAAATTTACATCTAAAAATTTTGTGTACTATTATTATAATTATTTTCTGTCCATATAAAGTTATTAAATCATCGCGTATAATGTCAGTTTTAACATTGTATGGCGTCGGGTAAAACCTATAATCACAGAGAGTAATAAAAATTAAAAATACTTTACAAACATAATAGCATTACGAAAGACAATTATAGACTTAAATGTTTCTAGCCATAGATTACATAATGTGAATTTTATACGCCATCTATGAAATATGGGCGCCAGTTAATTTGTTTTTTAATTAATTATAAACGTCTCTGATTTTAAATTAAAGTCCAATATCGCTTTAAGTTCATATGCTTAATACTTATATTACGTTTGATGTCTTACAAAATATTTATTTTGTCTAAATAATGTAATAATTAAGCATATTAAATAAATTACTTGATATAACATACATATGTTAATATAGTAAAAAGTTTTGCAAAAATTTCAAGATTAAAACATAATATGACTGCCTTTAAAATTAATATGTGCCAAAGAGTTAATATAAAACAAAATAACAAAAATAATACATTCCGTATGTATCAGGTAATTGCTCTGATCCCTACTAATATTATAAATGCGATAGTAACTCTGTCTGTCTGTTACGCTTTCACGCCTAAACCACTGAACTGGTTTTATTGAAATTTGGTACAGACATAGAGTTGACCTTGAGAAAGAACATAGGATAGTTTTATCCCAGACTTTTGAAAGGTTCTCTTGGAAACGCGATACAACCGAACTCCACGCGGGGGAAGCTGCGGGCGGAAGGCTAGTTTCTAATATACACCCTTAGAACGATGTCCCATAGTCAAACTGAACTCAAAAATTTGTATGAAAACTGTTAGACTATGCGTGTTTAGTTCGTATTTAGCCTCATACTAAGGTTGCAGTATACATTACAAAGTAGTACGTATCTTAATGGTATTCTGTTAAAGTGTTTCTAATAACGCAATGAAATATTACAGACACATTCACTTTCAACATACAACTACAAATACATCTACTGTAAATTATATTGTGTAATGAACATTCAAATGATAATCATAATCATTCATTTACATTTATAATATAATTCATATAATACATAGTTTTATATGAATGTAAATGTAATTTAAAATTAGTTTTAATGATTTCGAAGATCTACAAATATTGACTGAGTTGTTATATGTAATGTAAAACTAATAACTGATTTAGTCGGGACAAAGCTTTTAAATTGGTTAAAAAACAACTGTTTTACTCAACTCGAAACTTGAAATATTGACGTTTTTTACTTATATACTCGAAACCCGAAATGTTGACGTTTACTCTTTATATACTTGAAACTCGATATATTGAAGTTTTTGTTCATTACAGCAAGCTTTTAATATAAGTTTATATTACTCTGTGTGCATATGTGTGTGTGTGTGTGTCTGTGTGTGTTAATTTTAATAAAATTAATAACTCCTTACGTAACTACGAAGGCTTCCGTGTATATTTAATGACTTGGTAAATTTCTCAGAGGCTTGCCACCTTGAATGACGGTGTTGCGTTTAAAACCATCAGCGCATGACTTCCCCCTATCAGATTATGTGATGCACCAATTGCCTCCAACGGTTATAGTTACGTCGGTTTACGCAAGCTATCATTAAGGGTTGATTGCAGGAAAAAATTATCATTAATGCCATCTCATATAGATTTATATATTCCACTTATTCCAAATCACTATATAATGTACAGATTATGTATTATTTATTATTGGTAACAAGTTAATTCAATTGATTCGCCGTAACCAGTTCAACTAAACCATTGTTTTAGATACGGCTTCGTTCGTACAAGATGTTAATCTTACTTTCAAATGCTCCACTTTTGTACGTACGGCCATTATTTCAATTGCGCTAATGTTAGAAAGTTCTCTTATGGCTGACCAAGACAGATTATAATTAACTAAGAAACAAAAATATATATATAATGAAACACATACACATTCTATAACATTTATATTTTTATCAGCCTCAACGTTTTTGTAATAACTTTCACAATCACGTAAAACAAAGCATATACGAAGATAAACAATTAATAACATTTGTGTGTCGCGCACCCGTCAGATGCTATGCGATCCAATTTAAAAAACATTTGTACCACGCAGCTATTGAGCTCGTGTTTGTTTATTATACTAGAATACTTATCGATCACAATTCGAACTAAGCCTATAAGGTACTGTTGTGATAACTATTTTAAGCTGGATTTAATTCCATCCGTGCCCATACTGTTGCTGTTCCTCGTGATGATGTTCCTGCTCCTTCTTGAAGTAGATGGGATAGTGAACTTTAACGGGATAGGGCACCTCCTTCACTAGGGGTACTTGGACCTCCTTGTATACTGGGTAGGGCTTGTCGATGGGCACTTTGACCTCATAGGGCACTTTCTTCTCGACGGTGTATGGGATCTTCTTGTACACATCGTAGGGTTTAGGGACTGGGACTTTGATGTGGACTGGGTATGGTTTTTCAACTTCGACCTTGTAGGGCCTGTCGACTGGGACCTTGACTTCATAGGGAACTGGTTTGTGTACGGTCACGGGGTAGGGCTTCTCAACTGGGACGGGGTAAGGCTTGGGCACATAGACATGGTAGGGCTTGTCTACTGGTACTTTAACTTCATAGGGCACCTTCTTCACGACCTCGTAGGGCTGGGGTACTTTGACTTCGTATTTAACTTCATATGGGACCTTCTTTTCTACGGTGTAGGGCTGGGGTACGGGAACCTTGACTTCATAAGGCACTTTCTTTTCGACGGTGTAAGGTGTGGGGACTTTGATTTTGACTTCGAATGGCTTGTCGACTGGGACCTTAACTTCATAAGGTACTTTCTTTTCAACAACGTAGGGCTGGGGTACATGGACTGGGTATTTCACGTACTCCTTAACGTTCACTGGTACACGCTTTTCTACGGTGTAGGGCTGGGGATAGGGCACTTTGACTTCATAGGGCACTTTCTTTTCTACTGTATATGGAACATGCTTTTCTACAGTGTATGGGACTGGTACTTTCTTGATGACTTCGATGGTCTTGACATGATGATGTCCATGGTCACTTTGGATTGGCTTCCATGAGTCAGAGGATCCGCCGAATTCCGCGCTGTGGCCGTAACCTTCAGACTGTCCTTGTCCGAAGCTCAAACCCTCATGTCCTCCAAAGTCACCACCATAACCCTGGCTCGCTCCATGCTCGTACCCGCCTCCATAGGATCCAGTGTCGTATATCCCTCGTTTATCCTGTTTCTTCTCCTCATCAGCCTTCTGTGTGCCTTTTTCCTCGCTGGCAAAGGCAACCACGGCCAGTGATAGTGCTAACACAACCTGTAAACAAAAAACTACATATTAGTATTCCATCAAATTAAATTTAACAAAAAATGCAAGGATATCTCGCGTAAGGAATTCTAAAAAGCGAAAGTATATCACGGATTTAATCCACTTTCTATTGTGAATCTAATACGTACATACTATCTAACGTTTTCCTTAAATTGTTTAAGTAATCCGCGTAATAGTTACTATTTGATGTGATCAATATAATTAAACCAGTCTATGGGAAGACGAAACACTTTCTAAGCAACAAATTTTCTCTCTAGTAATTGTGTATCAAACAATAGATACAAATAATTACACGAAGAAACTTTTAGCATTGAATCTTTATTATTAGTATACTAATACCATAATTATTACAATATTTTAAACAACTTAATAAAATTTGTATAAGTAATAATATATTATATTGAAGCTACGAAAAAATTAATTGTTTTACTAAAAAAATATCAAACAACAGAATATTGCGTCATGAAAAAAATTTGTTTGGTCAGATATTATCTTAATTTTAGGCTATTATTTATAATTTCTGACTAAATAATATATTCCATAATCTATTATAAAAAAAAAACATTAAATTAAAATGGTTTCCGTAAATAATGTCATCTATATTATGGCTACATGTTTGCTACGTAAAGGAGGTCAATATAGCAGCCATTACAATTCAAGCCACACTTACGAAATTACTTTCCTCACTTATCTCCTATATCTCGCGCATGAGTTGCAATAATGATGAATATTGAGCAAAACATTACCTAACAACTAAACAAGATAAACTATTGACGTTAAACTTAAGAAATACTACTAAAAAGATACATTTACGACAAATATCTTGAAAAAACGGAAGAAAACTATAAGAAAGAATAATTTTATTTAATTATAATGCATGAAAATAAAGATTTTAATACAATTTTAATGTTTTTTCAATAGTTCAACATATTATTAGACTTTCGCTGAAACACTTAATGTTTTATGAAAGTGAATCTAGCATTAAGCAGCCATCATCATTGGTAATACGGAACATGTTAGTACGAGTTGCATCGTTTTACTACATACTGACAGTTTATTGGTTTTAATACATAAATATTCGTGTTAACGTAGGCTATATAAGTTATAACGCTTTTTTTCTGTGGCAAAGAAAACTCGTGCTAAGCAAAGATCAAATGTTCTATCAAAGATATTGGATAAATATTGCCTTTTTTAGGATAACCTTTTTGGTTTCTGACACTATGAATACAGATAATAATAAACATAATTTTAAAAATGCAGATTATAAAGATTTTTCTAAACATATATTACATACGCGGAAATCAAAGTAACTAACTCTCTCCTATGCTTACCGATTGTTAATATTTTATGAGTCATTTATATAATTATTTATTTATTTTTTTCTCTATAGTTATATTTCCGCACTTATGTTTTCTAAACTATATCTATTGCTTTTATGTTATTTATATTAGAACGACTCTTCATTTTACACAAATATCCGTGTATTGAGTAAATTAATAATTTTTTCTACAAGACGTTATATGATAATTTTGTAGCAAAAAAATGTAATAGATTCGTTATTTTATTCCTAAATATTACCTATTCATAACAGTTCTGAGCAATATTTTTTGAATTGAAAAGGATTTTTTCTGACAGATAAATGTTGCATAATGTATATTAATCTAGATAGAATTCCTTGATAAATAAACAAAAATCTACTGAAATTATTAATGCCATAAAGAGTGAAAATATAGGAATTAAAGATTTTTCTTAATGCTAAAACTAATAAATCTATACTTATTAAACAAAACTATAAAAAAAACAAGGAATTAAAACTGGCCATAAATAACTTAAAATATATAACCAAAAAGTATTTACTGTTGTGTTGTTTAATCTCTAAACTGATTACATAGAAAACTTTTTTATTATTGTACTAAAATTTTATAACTTACTTACTTAATATAATTATCCAATATCAATAATATTACATCAGTTCTGAGTAATATATTATGCATTTTATTTTAATCGCTCAATATCGGCATCATTTTTAATATTGTATAACTGAATTGCATTTTTTATAGCCATTCATTATTCAAACAGGTTTTATATCTATTTTAGTGCATAATATTTTGACCTGTGTCTGATATGAAACCGCGAAATTAAAAAAAAATAACAAAATCTTTTTTCCCGCGTTTTATCTGTCACAGTTATTAAATGTTATTTATATTTAAAAATAAACAAATTTAAGGTGACAAAATAAGTTTACAAGTTCACGTACCGCGAAAACCGCAGCTTGCGGTAAAATAAATTATTAAACGACCTAACGATAACAACTTATTATTAAGGTTAATATTGGATTTAATTTTTGTTATATAACATTATTTTAATTTAATAAAAACATTTTTAAGGACAATTTTAATAGCAAGTGAAGTTTTGACTTTTTAAAGCTTTTTTAACAATGGACACTATTAATATTTTTATCAAAAAAACCCATATATTTTTTGTCTAATTTTCAATATGAATTTCTTCGATATAAATCTAAATTTTCTCGTATTTTTTTTAGTATATTAATCACGTTATTTTTATTGTCCTATTCCTAAACGTATGTATAAACGTCACGTCACTGTCACTGTCACTCACCGATAACTTCATGTTGTTGGAGCCCGGGGACCGGTTGTCTGTAGCACGGTCTGTGTTCACACCACATATATACCTTCCCTCCCACTCGGCCAGAAGAAGGGTGAACGTAATGTAATATCAAATCGAATTCCGTTACTAGAGCAATCTTTGATACCTTTTGTGAAAAAAAAATTGAATTTGACACTCGCTAATTGATGGTTTGTTTTTTTTTTATTAAATTGACGCGATTGTTTTAATGTGTTCATCCAATTATGATATCCAAAGAGATTGAATGTATAGGTTGTAACGATGATTACTATAGAGTATCATCCATACCTATTATCTTTGCAATGTTATGTATATAAAAATGTTTTTTTTTTCTGAATATTACAGCAATACAGTTGATTAAAACATAGATTAAAAATATGATTTAAAAGTATGTGTTTGTGAGAAAATTAACATATTAAATGATCTGCTAATTTTAGGTTACTTGCACTTCATCTAAATGTTTAATTAAGAGATACGTAATTTTCACTATATTTTTAATCTGTCTCCTTTTTATAATTTTAAAGTATGTACATATGTATTTTTTATTTTCAGTACAATATCAAAATAATTAAACTTTCACATATATTTGAACATGTTAATTACTTTTAATTACATTTAAATTAAAAATTCTTAGTTTGTTCTCTGTTACATAAATGTATAATTTCAATGTATAATTAAATATGAATCCACAGATAATGTAGACAGTTATGTATATAAGATATCTGAATTTAAAATTGAACGAATATTTGTAAAATTTGAAGGAAAAAATATTTATTATTAACTTATATGAGAATGTATTTTATTTATACCTAATTCAAGAAAATCAGAGAACAGACAGATGTTTCTTTTAAATCATACAAATTCTGATAAAGATAAAGAAGATGTGTTTCTTTAAAAGCTAAGTTAACTATATACTTCTCGGCGTCGTATTATATTTTAGAAGATCGTGGAACAGTTTATTTAGTAAACCTACAATTTTCATCTCGTCTGTCCGTGATCACGGTTGATCCAAAGTAACCGAAAAGTCGAGAGTATGTAGTTTAAACGCGTGGTCAATCCGAAAAATATTAGTTTTATAACAATTTACAACTTTTATATTCCTCAGGAGATCTTTTCGTCATGAATCTATACAAATCCAAGTTTTTCTATTTACATATCATATAATACTCTACAATAAATATATATACTCAAAAACGATGTAATTTTTTAACCTTTCATTAAATAGTACTTAAAATTTAACGTGAATGTAACGTGAAACTTATCTTCTTGCAATTGAATGTTAATTGTTTCTCATATTTATGTAAATTGAAATCTAAGGGTAGATAATATTTGGCTGGTCTTCTTCCTTTGAGAAAAACGTTCCCTTAACTTTACTCCATAACATAGATCTCAAAAGTTCTTTAGATAAATTCACATTTAACTAGCTTACGAGCGAATTTAGGCTTTTGCGGTGATATACTTTGAAGTCTGGATATCAGGACCTACATGATAAAAAGATTAAAACATAAAATGTACAATAAAAGAAAATATATCCCGAATTATTACTGAAAACATTCACATCTATGAAATCTAAGGTTCCCAAGTTTTTTATCAAGTTCTGTAGGCCTAACTGATCATTAATATCTTAAAACTATAACTATTATAGCAAAACTACAGCTGTAAGTGCTGTAATGACCATGAATCTATGTCAAATAAAATTTAGAACCCCAATGATGTATACGTAAATTTGAAGTTACTCGTTTTACGAACTGAAAAGCGTTTTTCTTTTCAGTGATATATTGATTTTCAGAGGCTTTTGACCAGGTTTGAAACTTCAATAAGTATTTGTGCTCTATACAGAAAAAACAAGTATTCCGCTGTGAATTTATTAAGGCTAAAACTCCAACCATTTAAGTTCTAAATATAATTGATAAATTTTGACTAAACCTTAGGAATATATTCTACGTTCAAGTTTCTCTTCATCGAGAAAATATTGTCGCGAAATCTAGGAAGGAAGTATAGAATGTCAAATGATATTTTATGATGGTTATACAATTATAGCAGATGGCTTTTCATTAGAATTTAATTGAGAATAATCTTATGAATAATGAAAGATATTAAGTAAATTTTATTCTTTTCATAGCTATCTGTCCCTATGAGTTGGAATTATTCCTATGACTTTGTAACTAAGTTTAATTTATCATTCATCTAACATGTTATTCAATTCAATTTAAAAAAATACATGAAATTTAAATCTTAGAATATTAAATATAATTTAGACTAAAAATCATCATAAAATTGAGTCGATTTTATTATTATACATATTTACAATCTTATCAGTGAATCAATAATGTTAAATTCATAAAAATTCCTCCTTATATGTGATAATATATCAAATTCTTGAACCTTATTTCATCAGGGGAATATCAGTAGTCTTAAAAGAATTACAGAATGCTAAATATTTTTTGATATAATCAGATTTAGTAGTTAAAAAATCATATTTGAAAATAGAGTTTGTTACGTTTTAAGCTTATATAAAGTCCTGTAAGAATATACATATAATACAAATGTTAGATGTTTTATTTCTAAAGACGAATAATTAAGTTAACATTTTTGGAAGCTAAATATTTGATGTCATCTCATCAAGTGAGAAAAAAATAGGAAAAAATTCCAGGAAATCCATCATCGTGTTCAAAGAATACAATCTTCTATTTTTCAAGATCATTTTTTAATTATATGTAATTATTTTTAAAAACATGGACTGATAGTGATGATCTTTTTTAACATACTGCTGAAATGAATCAAAGTTTTGCATTCTTAAATGTCTTATATATTCACCAAAAACAATTCACGGCACTGGTTTACATTGACCTAAAAGTTACCAATATACAATAGATTTTATTCCTTGCTTCCCTCAAATTGAGTAAGAAACTTTATTTCCATATTGTGTAAGAAGTCTCGTAAGATCTACAACTGGGAATTCGCTGATATTTTTCTACAGCGTATATTCGTCTAACTGAACTTGCTTCATTGACAGATCTTGCTTTTTTGGTTTTTGTATCTCCTGAGCTACGTCTGATAATATAACGTGTATTACAACCAGGCTCACATAACCTGCTAAAAGATTCGAATCTTCCCATATTCCTTACCAACCTGAGGACAAAACTCATTCGATCTTTACTACGAGGTCTTAAAGCTTGGATTATCACGCACAATTTACACATATACAATGTCAAAATTCGGCAACTTACACTCGTTGTATTATATTCTAATTTTCAGTAACAGACCTTTGCCCTTTCCCTATTCTTACCCCTCTCTATACCTAAAAACAAGGTTGTCAACGCATTCGTAACCACCTTCCATCAAGTGGGCCGTCTGCTCGTTTGCCACCTTTAACATAAAAAAAAATGAAACGACATAAGTCCTTTAATATCTGTTTCAGTTTTAAGTTGACCTATTTTTTAAAGTTACATGGTACTTTCTAAGAGTATTTTAAAGCAGCCTGCGATTGTCAGTAGACTCAATCAAGCCCTTAATTGTGGCTAGTCAAGATTTCATAAGGAAACGAAACTTTTGCCCAGACGATAACTTGTAAAATAAATGTGGTCTTTATTTTTATCTGGTAAATGTGGTACTACGTAGCTTTCCGCCCGCAGCTTCGCCCGCGTGGAGTTCGGTTATATAGCGTTTCCAAGAGAACCTTCCTAAAGTCTGGGATAAAAATTATCCTATGTTCTTTCTCAAGGTCAACTCTATCTCTGTACCAAATTTAATTAAAATCAGTTCAGTAGTTTAGGTGTGAAAGCGTAACAGACAGACAGAGTTACTTTCGCATTTATAATATTAGTAGGTATAAGTCTTAACACTTGCATTTTCTCTAATACTTTATACGATGACCTATTTTCATGCCCAGGGTTTGTCTGGATATTTATAAAGCAATTGCAATAATTATTAGAGTCATATGTAAATCATTCCAGTCTAGACAGTTCATTGTCACTGTTCTAATATTCGGAACCGGTTTTAATTAACGTTACATCACTTTTTATTGACGATTTTATTATTATAAGTCAATAAATCAAGTTGACCTTCCAATGCAGTACTTTCTGGGATGTTTCTGTAGAAATTTTAACCATAACTACATATACATATATATATTGAGAGATACGATTTTCGCGAGTATTCATTTAAATGAAACGAATATTATTCGTGTTACTACAAGTATTTTATTATTATAAACTACATACTGCCGACGATTTGGTTACTTTTCAACAACCGTGATCACGGACAGACGAGATGTGACAAAATGTTATTCCTATATTTTTGTTAATAAACAATTAATCTTTTCAATGGCGTCTTTTGATAGACTATCAATGCTACATGTTTTACATGTATGTCAACATTTTCAATTTATATAATATATCGGATTTATTACACATTCGTTGTTTTTAAAGAGAGGGACGCCAGCCTCGCTAACGTTACAAATGTCACTTCTTCTAGTACGGTCCATGATATTTTAAAATGAAACTTCAATTGTTTTTAATGCTCCTGTATTTCTCAAAGATTCTTCATAATAACATACTTCAATGATACACACTCACTGAACTCTGAATTATCAATTCTGGAGTCTGCCGTCGTGCGTCCAGACGTCATATTTGTAACAAGATTTAAACATAGTTCTATTCTCCTTTTAAGCAACCTTTGATTCCGTTTTACTTTTAACAATAATCATAAATACTAATGAGGTTTAATAAGAATTGATGACAGCCTCAAATGTCGCATCCGTTATTAAAGCTGGAAGCGCCGATATATACAATACTTTGTAAGTTCTAAGCATCTATGAAGCTGTTTTAATTCCCGTACGGAAAAAGTTTGACATCGATGTCTGTGTGTGTTTGTGTATCTGTCTCTCTGTTCCATCATATCTCTTAAACGGCTTGACCTTTTTTGATGCTATTTAAACCCAGTTGATTTCCTTGCAGTGGTTCTTAGGTATGTTGGTCTATTAT